ATATATATATATATATATATGTGTATCTATATTATACACGTGAAAAAAACAAATCACAATTCAAGTGTGCTACAACATGCAAGATATAAAAATAAACTAAACATACTTACGAAATTGTCAATTAATGTGAATTAATAATTGAACAGCTCGAGTTTTTTCCTCAAAAAAGTATGTCTTTCTGTGAGACAAATCACTACTTGAATAGTTACACGGATGTAACTGTCTGTAGATATCGACACTTGACAGTTAACTAACGAAAAAAAATACGTTACTTATACATAATGTTGCACGGAACTATATGCGAGAAAGAAAGAGGGCAGAGATGTTCTGCGTATAACCAGTTTTCGAACAGTTATATTTGAAGTCATCTCGAGATACCATGAACCAATCAGAAGGCCACATTATATCGTAGTTACCCCCATCACACGCTACTAAGGCTGCGTTCCATTTAATGTTCATAGCGCCAGTGAGATTATTTTATCCTTGTTATTTATCAAATGTCAAACAAGGAAAAACGGTGCTCGTGAGCGTTGCGAGGCGTTAAGTGGAACACAGTCCAAGTAGTAGCAAGTCGGAATTTGACAGTTTTGTCATGGATAGCTCTTTCTTTCCAGTGCGCCGTTTTTTAATCTGTGCGTTACTAAAAATAAGAAGATGTTAGCTGCGTTCAGTAGATTCAACAGTTTTGATTCGTGTCGCTGATTGGATTATTTTAGATCTAAAGAAATAGTCTCATTTCAGCGAAGTCTTATAAAATAGTTGTAAAACTGTTGAGTCTGCTGAACGTGACCATTATAACAGTTTGTGATTTTTTAAAAGTATAAATATGTATTGGGGAAAAAATGGAGAATTTGTTAGTACTATACTCAGTAATTTAGTGAGTTTACATCAGTTTACATAAATACAATGACTGTATGGGAGCGAACCATGACAGTACGAAGCGACATATGTGTGATGTGTGAAGCGCTCAATGCTACAGTATATCGATTATATGTTTATATGTATAAGCAGGGCCGTAGCTACCGGGCGGGCAATGCGTGTATCACACGCAGGCGCTTTTTTATGAGGGCGCCAAAATCACAAGTTGCCAAGGCGCTTTATAATTAATATACATTAACACAATACATTAGACTAGTATCACTAGTGTTCGTGTTTCTCATTTAAAAAACTCCATATTAAAGCTCAGATTAGTGGATTTTATTAAATAATTTTGAATCAGTGGATAATCAGAGTGGATAATCCTCCTTGAGGATGGCTAAAAACAATGGCCGAAATATCCAAATGTCTATGTAATTAGTAATTACATATCATGTGTTTATTAAAACTCTTTTTACAAATTTGCGATTTGATTATCGCGTTGACTCCATATTAGTCAAATTAAAATTTTTTTTTTTATTAAAATATATGCAGTCTATTATTAATTATTGTATTGTATTCCTTTACTTTATATAATATGAAGGGGAGGAGCGCCTAGTACCAAGCTTACACGCAGGCGACTTTATACCCAGATACGGCCCTGTGTATAAGTATTAAATAGTAACTCCAACAGAATTTATAATTACAAGGTATATAATTAACACTGTATTGAATATTTATTTCTTATATTACGAAAACATGGACGATTTATTTTCATAATAGCAAAAATAAAAAAAAATCATTAAGTTTATTACAAGAGCATCAATATTAACTTAAATTAAATTACATGTATTACAACTCTTAAATAATTAACAATTTAACAAACATATTATATTTTGTATAATTTTATATAAATTTTAAATCTTTCTCTCATTTATTAACATATAACAATTAATGTAATAAGTAACCTTTATTAAACTTTGGTAATCATAATATTCATATATATTAGGTGCATTCAGAATAATACTGCTCACTGAGCGTTCGGTGAGCGGTTGTCGTTCTGAATGCACAGATTATGTCTTATAAATACTTTCCTGTTGAATACTGTAAGATATAAATATATTTAAAGTTTACTCGAACCACAAGAAATGTTAATATCAAAATAAAGCGTAATTATAAAATACGTTAAAATATGTTAAATAAGAGCATTATATAGAATTTTCTATTATTATCTCTCTCTTTTTCTCTCTTTATTTCTCGATAGACGATATCATCTCAAATTTCACGTTATGTTTTATTAGTTGCTCGATCAGAGATGTTCTACCAAACGCAGCACCGGGAGTAAGTACTCCTCCGCTGTAAAAATATAAGTACACAAAAATAAAAAACAAAATTTAATAATAACTGTTTTTCAATTCTGTTATTAATTATGTTACTCTTTAATAAATAATTTTAAATCTTTTAAATTTTTTAATATTTACAAAAAAAATTACTATGGTAAACATGAGAGTTACATTGATAAATAATTAACAATTTACTAACTTGTAAGGCATTTTGTCAGTTTCGTTAAGAATTGTTATTGCCGATAAGATCACCATGATGCTAGTCAACTCATATCCGGGAGAATCACCAGAGACTCTGGTGATTACTTTCTTATTAGGTGAATCTGTGTGTTTATCGGTAGCTTCAGCCAATTTCTCAGTCCATCCACTAGCTTCAAATGTAAAAGAAAAATGTGTCGATTTCAGCATTTCCGGATTCGGGCTCTCGTGACTTGCAAAACCCGCCGAAAATAGAGCTGGATACTGTAAATATCAGATTTAATTATCTTCTATTATCTAAACGATATACTTTTATATAATATACTTTTATGTAATTTATATAATGTATTCATGAATAGACAGAATACATTAATTATATTGATTTGTTACTATAAATTAACAATTAATTATTAAGATTGTCAGGATATTCGAATTGATTAAATTTTGTTATATGTGTAATTATTAGAATTTAATGTGATTACAAACGAATAATATAATCCAATTTTATCTATGATGACTACACTTATTATGAACATAATAAAAACAGCATTAATGCCAACTAAAGACCTTATGAAAGCATATAAAATATTTATATACGTTGACAAAAAGTATAGATTCTCAGGATTTCATATATTACATTTTTTACCGGTTATTAGGTTCAAATGTATTGTGATATTGAGGATGATCAAACTGGATTCGAAACGTGTGTGTGCGTGCGTGCGTGCGTGCGTGTGTATGTATGTATGTATATATGTAATGTAAAAAGTTATTATATTATTAAAATATTATTATTTTAGCTCGTAGCCTTGGTATTAATATTTTGATATTTATCTAAATAATTTTATCAATCGCGTAAGTACTTGCATACATACTTTTAGAAGTAAATTACGACCGTATGATGAGCGAGTCAAAATTAAGATAAGCATACTGCCAATCACCATCATCAGGAAATCGAGGAAAGACCTAATAATAAACGTACAAAATTTAACAAAAAGTATTAATCAATATTTATTATTAATGATATCATACTGACTTTATTGTAAGATAAACTTGAATTTGCGCAGGCCTCTGTTTATATTCGTCATATAAGAATCGCTGTGTACGAAGAGCTACTGAACGATCGGCACTCGCAAATGGTGTGGACCATCCTTTAACAACATCGCTTTGATGCATCATCTTTCTGCAATAAATAGAATTATTAATGCTGCTTATCCTTAATTACTATTTTTTTTTCTTTTATCAATATTACACTAACTTGCATATTTTCTGAACATTTAATACGTATAAAAAATTTCTTTATATTCGACTTATTTGACAAAATGTGATTTATGCAGAATTGAGAAGCGTTACTTTTTATAATAAACAATTTAATAACATTAAAATTTTTTTATAATTAAACGTTAAGATTATACTAAGGTTGAAAAAAAGACTTCTCCAACCTTAGTGTTTAGTAATAAAAAATTGCAATGTCATGTTTATTATAAAAAGTAACAGAAAAGTAACGATAATAGTATTTCCTGCTCTAGATGTGTATATGTATATACACAAGATATCTAAAAATATGTATACCTTGTTAATTTCGGTGTGAATTCAGGCAACTTGGTAGGATATAATTTTTTGCGTAGTTCTGATACTTCCTCTGCATGACCCAAACTATGTACTGCACTTTCCCAAGTTGCATAATTAAAAAGTGGACCTTTCTTATTAGTAGTAGCGCTCGACCACATATTCATATATATTTCAATAGAATTGATTTCTCCTTCAAATTTCTGTTGTGTAAAAATGATTCCCAAATCACTAGGAATACAATCAAAGCCACAAGCGCTTACCATGTAAACGCCAGCTTCTTTTGCTGCTTCGTTATATTTTAACTGCATTTCAATCATAAACTGTAAATATTGAAAATATGATAAATCATCAATTGTTCATTATACTGTTACGTAATGTTAAATTACCTGTTCTTCACCAGTGACGTCAACATAATGAGTATGACTGGCAATGCATGCTTTAATAACTGGTTCTCCATAAAATCTGAATGGACCACAACAATTAATGAGTATCTTTGCTCGTTTTGTCATTTTCTTGAGAGATTCCTCATCTTTTACGTCAGCCAGAATAACAGGCACATTCTCTGATAAGATACATATAATATAATATTTGCTAATAATAAATAAAGTGATTTATTATTATGATTAGAATAATTAGTTCTAAGTTTTAAATATACCAATATCTGAGGCAAATTCCTTAACAACTGCGTCTAAAGCTTCTTTCCTACGACCAGCAATACCAAACTTCATTTTTCGATCCTTACACATATGAGTTGCATTTTTCACTACATATTTTCCGGTATATCCAGTGGCGCCAAATATTACTATATCTAAACGATCTGCCATTTTCCTGTAATCTAATGCAAAATATCATTAAAACCATTCATGTTTTTTAGAACTTCACTTTTAACTTGATAAAAATATCTTGAATATATTATAAAAATTTAGAAAGTGCTTATTTCAATATATTTATCACACATGTTTCATTAATGTGTACATTATATGAAATTATATATACATATATATATATAATTAAATAAAAAGAAATTTAGTTAACATTATAATAAAAATATATATAAACCAAATATATAAGTAATGGTTCCAAAGATAAACTCACAGATGATAAATAATATTTAATGCTCATAGAAGTTGACACTATAGTTATTATAAAAGTTAGTACAAGACTCTCAATTTCAAAATGACAATTATGTAATGAGAAAGAACTAGTAAGAGTCTCATAAATAGAAACACTTTCATAAATATTCAAATAAAAAATTGAGATACCACAAAGAAAACTTTACTTAAATTAACATATTCCAATTATGATAATTAAGTAGTTAATTTAAGTAGTTTTCTTTGTTTGTGGTATCTCAGTTTTTTATTTGAATATTTATGAAAGTGTTACTATAGTTATTCATGTATAAAGAAATTGAATATATTAAATAGTAAAATTACTAGACGTTTCAACCCTTGGTGTATTGGGTCGTTTTTAGTGAATAAGAGAAATAATCGTCAAAATTTGTCACATTACTAACATAAGTAAAAGAAGATATAGCATAATGTCGCCATATCATTGTTAAATTGTTGTCTAAACGTAAAAATGTTTTATATTGTTCATATTTTGTATTTGTTATATTTTAAAGTAATCAAAAGTTAGAATTTTGACTGAAAATATAAAATTAACATAGTCACTATGATAAAATGTATATTGATTGAATCACTAAAAAAAGCTTACATTTTGTAATTAGAATAATCTATAATCAATGCAATATGAATTATGAATACAATGAGATATCATGTGAAATGTTGATTAACATTGACAACGTTTCAGATAAACAATATAAATTTTTATATTTGAGCAAGTTTAACGCTGATATGACATTGTATCATACTTTCTTTTAGTTTTCAATATGACAGTATTGTGTTTTAATGATTATTATATATACACACAAAGGAAGACCCAATATTAAGGGTTGAAATGTCTAATTTTTTATTACTATAATATATAGTTTTATTACACATGAACAACTAGTGTCGGCTCTTATTGACATTATATTATCATTTATTTCTTATAAATTTTATTTGGAGTCTTTACTTAATATATTTATAAATAGAAACCATTTTAAAAGGACCAAAATGTTTACAACCAATTTGACTTATTCTGCATAAATATTATGATATTCACAACATATATCTGTTATGTAACGATTAATAATTTTGTAACTATAAAAAATGTGTAATTTCAAAAATTGAGAACGTCGTATACTTACCGGCGAATTGACAAGAACATTAACTGATATGACGCTGCAATTTTACATACCGCGTGTATATATATATAATATACGTAAAAAAACGGATCACAGTCAAGTACTACAGCATGCAAGATATAAACTAAATGTACTTACGAAATTATTAATTCAATCGAATTAACAACTGAATAGGTCGTATTTTTTCTTCGAAAAAGCGAGACGAATCACGATTACACCGCTTTGCACCGCTTGTGCACGTGGACACACGGGTGTGGCTGTCGATAGGTATCGAAACTCGACAGTCAATTGACGTCTAACGACAAAAACGGCATCGTTTACACAATGCTGGACGAAACTGCGCGCTGGAGGAAGGTGTACTGAAGTGTACTCTGTACGCATCTGTACTATGTTCATATAAGCGCGCCAAAAATTAAATAATTAGCATCTATGCCGTGGTTACTCCTTCTCTTCATCGTGTTGTTTCTTTTAATGATATAATAAGATGTCATTTTTTTCATTAATCATTTAAACCAGATATATATACGAGGAAATATAAAATCTATTTTTTCACTCGGTACAATAATGCATCTCTCAGTACAGATTTTTATCTAGATTTGGCCTTGTATGTAATATAAAAGGAATTTATTTTAGAAATACCGTAATAATCAATATGCAATTTATAGTTTCGGATCACACAAGAAAGACAAATAAAAACCAAATTAAGAATGAATTGTGTAAACATAAGGATTTTTTCGTTATATTTGAAATGTAAGAGTTTATTATTTATTTTATTTGTTCCAAGACAAATAAGCATATAATTAAATATATAATTTGCGATTAATTTTGTTTGATATCTACTATATTTAAATCACTCAGATTTTATATTAATACAATAAAAGCACTTTATTAATCATCGTACATAGAGAAGCGAACAAAGGTTAAACATCAAAAGACAAAAAACGACTCGGGAAGACAGAAAACAGCAGCAAGACAAAAAACAACATAAAAATATAATAATCGATAAAATCATTCCTCGGCAATAGATTCAATTCACAACACCTGTAAACTTACATTAACATTAACTTATAAAATTACATCTCAACAAATATTATAAAATATATTATAGCACATGAGTGATATGTACTATTTTTATTATACATATATATATCTAATTTTAAAAAAATATGAAGCTTCTTTACAATTTTATTATAATTGATATAGGATTTACTTTATTAATTTTATTCTGTTTCGTTTTTGTTAGCCACCCTGTATATATCTGTATCTTTTGATACTTGAAGAGGAAAAGATTTGTATTAAATATTTACATATGGGTAGATGATCCGTAATGAGAATCGAGTGTAGCAGTTTTAACTTGAAAATTGCGCAATTCCGATCGCTTATAAGGCTGGCAACTTGATTTAGATTTGTCTTGAACAATTTCGAATATACCGATGCAACATGCAATGATATGTATATGTATTGCCGTTTAATGGTAAGATAGCTGCATGATAACATTACCTTGAGTTGTCAGAAATAATAGCATTATATGATATTGCGTGTTATTATGACAACATGACAGTAAGAGTACAATAAATAATGATGACGATGTTAAAATCGTCGACAAGTTGCTACTCAAAGTTGTCATATCGTAAAAGCATCAAGTTGTTAACATATGAGAACTCAGTTGCTGCGACTGAGTATTCTGATAGAACATAAACTTAGCAATGACTTAGCAAGTAACATGCCAGCAGCAAGACAAACACATTATCTGAATAATTTATTTGAATTATGCATAATTCACATATGGATACATCGATAGAGATTTAATTCCTCCTTCGAATTTTTTGCTAAAAATAACTTCCAAATTGTGTTAGGAATACAAACAAGACCACAGGCACTTACCATGTGAATACCAATTTCTTCTGCTGCATTGTTATATTCCAATTTCCCCGTGAACTGTTAATAATTATCAGTGGTTATTGTTTGTTTCAAATATATATTCAATTACTTCCTCTTCAGTGACTCAATATAATAAGTAGCAATGCACATTTTAACAACTGGTTCTCCATAAAATCAATGATAGGGACCACAACAGCTGACAAATATCTTTGCTCGTTGTCAATTAAGAGTTTTCTCGTCTTTTAGGTCAATCGGAATCATAGGTACATTCTCTACAAAGATACATATATAAATGTTCGTTAATAATATGACAAAATAATTCGCTATTTCTTGAAATAATTGAAACTTTAAATGTACCCACTTCAATGTTTAAAATTTCCTTTAAATTTCCTTTAATTTCCTTTTTATGACCAGCAATACCAAACTTTATTTTTTACTCTTTACACGTGTGTTGCACTAATATTTTCCTTCACTACATATTTTCCAGTATATCCAGTGACACCAAATATTATTGTAGTCAAACGATCATCTGTCATTTTTCTCCAATCTATAGTTAAATAATTATTATATATTTTATACTTACATTTAACTTAATATAAATGTTTTAATATAAATCTAAACTCCACGAGAAATATTGCACAAGTATACTCACCAAATATTTATTGAGAAATAAATAATTTATTATTTACAGTATTTTTTTATATGGTGTTGGAAAAAGCGGCACTTATACAGGATCAGTACATCTATTTAAAGCAAAGCACATTCCTAACCGCATTTTGATACAGTCGTTGATTTTATAGCCAGTGTTATATAATTTTACACTTAGTTAAATAAAAAAAATTAAAAATATTAAATTTGTATGCACATGTAAAAGATTAAAATATTATAATTAAAAAAATATTTTTTGATATTGTGTTTCAAACATAAAAAACGCTACTATTACCATGAAAAACTGTTCTGCAGATATATTTTCAGAAACGCAGAGCAATCTACAATAAAGATAGATAAAATACGTTATTATGATCGCTTTACATATTTAATATACGCACAATTTTAAACACTATTCCATTATGCCACTGTATTCATTCTCCGAATCGATATTTACAATTCGCAGCCTTCTCATCTCTTTATTTCATTGTTGTACATTCCAAACCATCGCAATCGATTAATTTATAAACATACGATCGTTTATAAATTAAATAACTCTCGCTACGTCTCATTTCGCAAATGAATCTTCGGTGAGCTATTGGCCACACGATCAATCTTATATCCAAACACAAAAAAATATGAATTACATTCTTTCTCTTTTAACACCAATCCATATCGTCACAAATATTTTTGTCTCGCTTTTTTAATATATATGCTTATGTTACTATTTACACAAATGCACATGAAGATTTCAAAATTAGCTTCACGCGACGCGTAAAATAATCTACAAAATAATTTATTTTATATAGGTCAACGAGACAATATACTCAGCATGCAATATTGATAATTTTGGATTATACAAGATAATGTATGTTCTATAAGTCGTTCTCGATTTTCACTTTGTTTCTTCATTTACTAGGAATATAAAACTTTATGAGAAGCCCTTTCTTATAACAAAGAAATGTTATCAGCTGTCCATTATTAATTAGAGCAAAACATGGTTATCTTTGATAGATTTCTTTATAATTAATTACTAAATTTAAAATCTTTTCAGTTAAAAAATATTTTATAAGAGACGTCTAGTGTGAGATTATATGATATATATAGATAATATAAAATCCTTATATCAATTTCCTCTCTTTTACTCTTTCTTCCCTTTTGTCTTTTCTGTTTTCTTCCTTTTAACTGAAACAAGATTGAGGTAGCAGATACTTCCTCATATTTTATGTTAAATAAACATAATGCTGTATTAAGTGATTCAACAGTTCGATACGAACGGAGTATAACTATCGGTCTTATGTTAATATTTACAAGTATGTCACATCGGTTTTGTATGTTTAGAATACAAAACTATGGTAGCATAAAATAATGAACGCAAAAATAGTACTTTTATCTATTTCTAATCTTTTCAAATGCGCCAGAAGACTATCGAAAAAAAGGTGCAATCCAATCTGTGTTTCCATATTTTGATTTTCGTAACAGATTACGTTAGAAAGCTGCTGAATTAACGCGTTAATTGTCAACCGATATTTTACTATCAAAATACAATAGATCGACATAGCGTATGATTTCAGTGGGCCTACCGATTGATTGAATAATCTCGTGTATTATTCCATCTCTGTGAAACGGTGTTCCTTTAAATATTGATCTTTTTATATAAAGAAAATTGTTATGTTATATAAGTTTGTACAATTTTACAGACATTATACTATAACGCAAACCACGTTCGTTTGTGTGTACTGTAATGCCATGAAATTAAATTATATTAAGCATAGAGCCGACTAATTATTAACTCTCATCATTTTCTCAGATAAAAACAATGAAACTAGACATCATTCGAGGCGATTATGTGCGCGAGCTATATTTCTAAACTAAATATACATATAGTTAGTATCGAAAAATGCAAAATATATGCGCGTAGCGCGGAAGCAGTTTACTTATTTTACATAACAAAAGTTACGATAGAGGATGCGGTACAATCAACGCTATCAATGTTCGAGAACAGTTTAGGATGTGACCCATTTAGCATTTTACAGAATATTCTAGATGCGTAACGCTCTAGAACACTCAGATTTTCCAAAACATCGATTAATTTGTGCAAATGTTGACAATGTTAGTACACCTAACAAAAGTGGAAACTTTCAAGTCGTTAACTGAACCGCATACGGATACTGCGTATATAGTAGAAAATATATATATTTGATTCTAATGTCGCGTCGTTAATTTTTTTCATAATTGGACGATAAAATTGTGAATTCGAATATGCAAGAAAGGATAAGTTTATTAATTTAAAAAATTGTAAAAAGTACCATTTAGAATTGTGTTCAAGTATAATTTATGTGCTTTTCATTTATCATGTTATACCTAAATTATGTATAATAATAAATTATCATGTTATACATATATCATGTTATAAATAAATTTATTTTAAATAAAAATAATTTTAACATGTAATGAAAATTCCATGAAATTATACTGGTTACAATATAATTGGTACGTACTTAAAAAGAAGCGGAAACATTATTTATTCATATTCTTCAACGAATTCCGATATACGTTCTGATATATAAAAATTTCTCGTTATGCGCCAAGGATATAATTCGATCTCCCTGGTATGTTTTTCCTTTCCATAATCTACACATCTGTAAAATTTTCTAATCTAGGGAGTATCATGCATATCCTAGACACATCTTCGACAATCATATTATCCGTTTATTATACTACAAACGTCGGAATAATTCTTTTATACATATAGATACAAGTGGTGCATGCTCACAGAACATCGTGCACCGTGTATTCAGTACTTCTCCCATGTAGAGACGTAAGAGGGCCAGTGTTGCAAACGCTCTCACTCGAAACAAAATTATACATAAAATAATTTCGATATCGTGTCACAACCGAGGAAGAAAGAAGCACTAGGAGTTGGCGTTTGGTGGCGGTGGTCTTCTATCGTAGTCTCGCCTGTAATCTTTGTTCGGTCGCCAATCATTGGAGTAACCATCTCCTGCGTAACCACGACTTCTAAAATGACTTGATGCAATATCCGAGGGCGGATAACCACCACTGCTACCTCCATAGCCACCTGGCCCATATCCGTAACTGTGTGGTCCCGATGAGTATCGATAATAATCACTGAAAAATCATACTCATTAAAATAAAATTTATGAAATAGATCGATCGGATGTACAGATAAGTTATTCCTCACTTTCTTTTGTCGTTCATATGCATTCCACGATCTCGATCTCGATCTCTATCTCTGTGATAACCACCGGACATTCGACCATAAAGATCAAAGCGATCGCGTTTATGATCTCCGAATCTATAAAAAATTGCAAAGTTAAGAAATGATTAACTTTACATTATTTGCGCGGGTTTTTTTAAATGTAATTACTCGCGCTATTATATGTTTCTGAGACTCAAACGTTTCATCTCAATTCATTTCATGACACTATCCTCTTTGATTATTTACAATTATTATAAGGTTGGTAACGTC